AGCCTAACCTAACACAACAATCAGCTCGTTTACCGCTATGTCTGAATAATATTGTCAGATTTAATTAAGGTCAACGGCTTAGCATGTAAATAACAACAACTGCCACCATCGGTATTATGAGAAAACCAATTGCTTTTCAACAAACACTTAAAAGTTTTTAGCTTAAAACTTGCATGAAATTAATTTTACCAGCCTCGTGTCCCTCTTATCAAAACGCTTCGAATGAATCAAAAGTTGATCTTTAAAGGTCATTTGAAAAATTTTGCCTATGTTCAAGGACATGACCTGACCAGAAATGGTCATAATGCATAGCAGGATATTAGATCCGTATCGTGGAACTTTACAAACACTTCAGATGATTTCATAACTTAAGCATGTCAATCAAAAATAATCATTACATGGCTCATATGTAAGCTGGGTGTGTGTGAACACGCTTACGAGTAGGTATGTTGAACGCAACTGATAATGTTCTGTTGGCCACAATTTCTATATTTAGAAATTTCACAATTTCTATATTTCTATATTTATCCTCCCGGATTTCATATTTTTGTTAATGACACCTTGACGATGTCGAGAAAAAACGCTTAGGAGATTTAACAGCCTGAGATACATTCAGTATAAGGAAGGTTCAAGGGTGCTAGATTCCTTCCGTCCTCGCTATCCTCAGGAAAAACCAATCCGCATCGCCCCTAGTCTTCATGCTTCCCTCTTTGGACTGGAGGTCACCCCACCAGCCAACCTGTAGTTGATGTCGGATCCATTCCAGGACACATAATGCTCTTCGGGTGACCGTTTGGGAGACGGCTGGACCGTCCCGACAGGGCAATCGTCCCACGGCAACAGTCTCGCTTCCGCAGATCACTGTCGCTGGCTCGCACAACCCAATTACTACACCAGAGCATAGTTATGTCATAGCTCTGCAAGGGCCTTTCAGACCGAAAAAGATGGCCCCCAACAAAACAAACAATTTTCTCATTCAATATTGTATCTCATCAAGTACCACATGTTTTCAGAGTATTTATTATGCGTTCCGCCCAAAAAAGCGCAGTTCAATTTTCTCCCATTGACTTGAGCGATCTCAAAATTGACCCGGCCTTTCTGTCAACAATGTCAAACTTGCAAAGTAAACGTTTCAAATACATATGCTGTTGCCCATGAAAATCGCTGAAAGATCTGAAGCGATCGGATAGTCGGTGTATTTAGATATGATGAGCACAGGAACTTTCCTTAAGGTAAGGTCACTTGACGTGACCTGGTGTTATGACCTTGAATTGAAAGACTTGGGCGGAAAAAAATGGGTCGTTTGAAATATTAAAATGCTAGATTTAGCAATAATTGCAAACACTATCCCGACCAAATAGTGAGTGAGAAGGGAGCGATTCCCCGACCCCATGTTTAGCTCCTATAATTGAGCTAGCTGCTAGAGCCTCGCGGAAAAAAAACGAGTGCTTGCGTCGTTACGTGACGCAGCGACTGGTATACCCATTTTAAAATATCAGTGACCTCTTAGGGCAGGTCAAGGGCCCCAAGGCATTTGATCGGTTTTTGGTAAAAAACTAAACGCATTATCGTCATTTCGATACAATCGTGTTTTCTGTTCTCAGACGCGTCGATTTATGTATATGCTTTTTTGTTTAGGTGAAGCAAGTTAGGATGTTTACCTCAGGTCAATGTCATGTTAGAGCAACGCAGGTCACGAAGCTGTTGAAAGGAGGACATGTTGCATAACGTTTGATTCGGCAAGTCTTGCAAAGTCCATTGATGGCTGTCCCGACTGGCTAGCTCATTTTGATCGGGAGTTATTGACGAAGCACTCGTATGACCCTAGTGACGTCATAAATGACGTCACGCAAGGTGAACAATGCAAAAGTGAAGCATTAGACCTTGCCAAGAATATATGAAGTCATGATTTCATGTGCTTGAGGTATAGTTTCAGATCATTTCCGACGCCAAATTAACAGTTTCCATAATTCCCCATTATGCTTTATATGACACTAAGTGCATTGCGGATATTGCATCATTTTATAACCGACAACCGTGCAGAGGTTTACTTAAGACGTCATAGTTAAGTGACCTGACCTGAAAACGTGGTTGATGTCAAGTGATCCGGCTTGAATGAAATGTAAGGCATGTGAAATGTCAGCCTTCTATTATCAGTGTGCTTTGAGCTACCGCAATAAAAAAAAACAAAGTGGCTGCATCTGGCTGCATCCACCCCTTCTTCTCGGCCGGCGAGGGTTTAACCTCGCTTCGAATTATTGCAGATAATGATGCGACCGAAAACAAAGCATTTATCTGCGTCTAGAACGGCCACTGACTTGTTGGACAAGATCCCCAATCTTAATTCACTAGATGGGAATAAAATACTCGGTATGTGATACATATAGTTATACCCCTCGATTTGCCCTCGCGCTAAGTCTATTCTAATCATCACTGTCGCTTTTTTATCCGAGATGATGTCGCCGCTAAACGGGTTGCTTTGTTTGCTTGCTTGCGTTGAATGGCCATTACGGATTATTGAAGGATTATAATAAAATAGGAATGGGGCAAGGGAGGATATGCACTGCAGGTGTTTAATTTAGATCACAAAGGCATCATTTCCGGCATCGTGCAGAGTCATTATCTTCCCCTCCTCTGCACTGCGGCATCTCCGCGCCCCACACACGGCGTCCTCACTCTACGGCCGGCCGCCGCCAACTGACCCACTCGCCGGGCGCCGCGACCTGACCCGTGTCGCTGCCGCGGCCTGCGCAATAGAGTCGGGGCTGGAATCCGGGGGTTCGGCCGGCCGGCCGCCTCTGGAGCGGGGGACTTTTTTAGTAGACCTACTGTACTCCCCCCCGCAGTGCCCGAAATGGACGTACGTAAGTTTACCGTTTTTGTGTGGAATCAACCCGCGCCCCGCTGAGGGGGGGCGAATCTGCCCCCCCCCCCTCCCGTTTTTCGCCAATAACTTCTAAACGCGTTACGCCAACGACGTCAAACTTTCAGTACATTATCATACATTAATGTAACACTTTCCCTGAAAATTTGAGCGGAATCCGTCGGAAATGTTTGAGGAAATGACGTTTTAGTGACGTCATGTCCACCATTTTCGCCTGAAAAACGGCAAAAATTCAAACGCCGCTAACAACTTCATTTTTAACCAACACCATTGAGTTGGAAATGAAAAATTGGCCATAAAACATGCATCGCACAACCTTAGTAAAGTTGAGTTCATGTGGTGACCCTTGGTGACCTGACCTTTGACCTGACCTGGTATGACCAGTGACCTCTAATAGCAACATATGTACTAGACAACTGAGGCCCTATCGCTGATTTTCGACAAAATGCGTTTTCCTCGGTGTTATAGCGCTTTCCCTAGAAGACCCGTGAACGGTGAAACATTTTATCTTTGACCTGACCTGTGACGTCATCGGTGACCCCGAGGTCAATGAAATTTGGTTTCCTTCGACAAATTTGACAGGGCTATCGAAGCCGTCTGAATTTTTCGGATCCGTCCAGTAGGGTGGCCGGGAGTCCCACCGCCTGCCGGGTTAAGATCCGCCTTGTTGAGAGCTGCTTGTTGAGATTGCCGTTTTCCCCGTCTTTCTTTTACGACCATCGGTTCGGAAGTTAGACAGTGGGGGCAGAATCTGCCTCCCCCCCCCCCCCCCAGCAGGGCGCGTATGGCTGAATAGCCCAGCGGGACGCGGGTTAAAAGAAAACTAGAGACATCAGGAAAAATTGCAGTACATAAGGAATCAAGATCCAGGGAGTTTTTAGAATTTATAGAAGCTTTTGCATTCCCCGTAGCGTCCAAGGCCGCCATTCTGGATCCGTCTAGGGAGGAAAGAGATGAGAAACTCTCTATGAGAAGGATCACTAGCTGCGGTTATTTGTAGCCTAAAGTCGCCCAAGACTTTCACCACCCACGCGAATAAAATTAGATCCGTTAATGTGGAAAATAATCACTTGGAGTCGATTATAGTCGATATAAGTTGATTCATATTGTTGAGCTGAGCCAACCTAGTGTAATTTCATCGGTCTAGTGTAGGTATCCATCAAAAAGTGTGATCAAATAACGGCTGGTGACCTTCCATGACCTAGCATGATCTTTCAAGTGACCACTGCTGACATGATCATTGACGGCTAGCCATTCCATTAGCTGCACCCTGCCCGTTGCATATGGATCAGGTGGTGATTTCATGATTCTGGAATTATCGTGCAGTTTTGGCGCGCTTGTCAGAGCAGAAGACATTCCCACTTTTCCTCCATGGCATGGTGGTGAGGCCATGAAGCTGACCAGAGATATGATCGCAAATTTGAAAGTAAGTACGAAACATAAGAATAGTTGGCACTGCTACTCATACCTAAGCAACCTACGCTACTTGTAGGAAACCAGCTTTAGGGTTGCAAGACTGCAAATTTTGATCTAGAGGCAAGGATGCTTGAAACCTAAGGTGATCTTAGGTGCCCTAGGATAAGTTTGGAAACGAGATGCACCATTTGATGCGTTTTGGGATTTACCTAGTTTCGCGGCGTTACGTGCCTCTTTTTTTCCATACACGATCAGTATCTACTTTTAGGGTTTTCGGTCAGTCAATCCGTCCTCCCGTCCTATCAAAAAGCCGTGGCGCCGCCCCTGCCTGCACCGCACACCTTTCGATAGCCCGTTTGATTTTCTATACGATGCTGTTTTCCCCGTGCCGATCGGGCCCACGGTCACCGAGATATTGCACGGGGACCGGATCCTTGTCGGGCAAATTTAGCCATTTTCGCCCGATTTTGCAAGCCGATTTATACATATAAAGTCTATGACGCGAAGTTGCACTTTTATGCACGCGCCACGCTGCAGCAAATAATTATTTCCAGCGAGTGCTACGGGGGAAACTCGCGCTCAAGTAGCTATGAGCGATGCGGCTTTGTTCAGCACGCAGCGGGACTACCCTCGCAGCCGTATGATATGTCATTGACGTAGCCAGCTCACACATCACACTGCGAGCAAAACCAACACTGGAGACGTTCTTTGCGCAGTATATATTCAGGCAGACCTTGGTGAATTGTCAGTAGATGATAATTGCGTATCGCGACCGTAAAAGGCATCATGTCACTCACGCATACACAGATATGGCCAGAGCGGTGTGCAGGCGGGCAGCGGGCGCGTCCAGCCCGGCGGCCCGGCGGCCCGGCGGGCCAGACGCGTCTGTGTATCACGGCATTGTGCCACAATACGGCCCCGACCCGACCCGACTGCGGACCGAGTCACCGGACCACGGCGGACCGAGTCACCAGACCACAGCGGTCCGAGTCACCGGACCACAGCGGACCGCGTCACCGGACCACAGCGGACCGAGTCACCGGACCACAGCGGACCGAGTCACCGGACCACAGCGGACCGAGTCACCGGACCACAGCGGTCCGAGTCACCCGATCACAGCGGTCCGAGTCACCGGACCACAGCGGACCGAGTCACCGGACCACAGCGGACCGAGTCACCGGACCACAGCGGACCGAGTCACCGGACCACAGCGGACCGAGTCACCGGACCACAGCGGACCGAGTCACCGGACCACAGCGGACCGAGTCACCGGACCACAGCGGTCCGGACCGGACCGGCACACAGACCGAGTCACCGGGCCACAGCGGACCGAGTCACCGGATCACAGCGGTCCGGACCGGACCGGCACACAGACCGAGTCACCGGGCCACCGAGACACAGTCCCCGGACCACCGAGACACGGTCCCCGGACCACCGAGACACGGTCCCCGGGCCACCGAGACACAGTCCCCGGACCACCGAGACACGGTCCCCGGACCACCGAGACACGGTCCGCGGGCCACCGAGACACAGTCCCCGGACCACCGAGACACGGTCCCCGGACCACCGAGACACGGTCACCGGACCACCGAGACACGGTCCCCGGACCACCGAGACACGGTCACCGGACCACCGAGACACGGTCCCCGGACCACCGAGACACGGTCCCCGGACCAGAGTCACGGTCCCCAGCGACAGCGTCACGGCGGCAGAATCCGACAAATGTGCAGCGACTGCCCATATATCCAGCGACTGCCAATACAAGCAGAAAAACTGACCACAATGGCAATATCACACAACAGAGTTATAAAAAGCCGGCACGGTTGACATGATACGATAATAAAAACCTGCAATCACATGGCACGGTCACAATGTAAGACACTGTGCAGATTCAGGGTAGGAGAGTCACGGTTGCCGCTGGGCGGAACAGGCGCCCGCCAGCCAACCGCGGAGATTACATAGACGCCGCGCAGCTCACCCGACAACACACTGGTAAAGTGTAAACGCACCTATATCGGGCACGGCCGGCCCGCTGCGCTGCCCACAGCGCGGCCCCTGGTGGAGCTGACACCGAGAACGGACACCGAGACCAGAGCATACACCGAGACCACGGACCCGGCCGGCCGGCCGGGCCGCCTCCGCCTCCCCACCAGCCGGCATCAGCCACTGCAGCCGGTACCGGTACCTCACCGTGGCAGCGTGAGACACTGAACTCAGATCCCACAGTTCGGAGACCCCTCAGACTCCCCGCCGGTATCAGCTAGCCTAGCAGCGTGAGACACTGCACTCAGATCCCACAGTTCGGAGACTCCCCCCGCCCGCCGGTATTAGCTAGCCTAGCAGCGTCCAGACACTCCACTCAGATCCCACAGTTCGGAGAACAGCGTCTGAAGCGCGGCAGATATTGCCGTACTCGCCCTCAGAACAGTCTGTTCCATAGCACCACGGGGATAAGTCAGTCTGTGGCCGCGCAGACCCGTGTGACATTCACGGAGCAGCGGCGGCACCCCCTCCGAGCCTGCCGGCGCCACGGCGCGCCCGTCCCCGCCCAGCCCAGCGCACCCGGCAAGATACAGCTGAGACGGGCCGCCGCCGGCCGCCTCAACCCACCGACTCACAGCACCTGTCGACTCGCACCAGTCGCCAGCCGCCGCCGACTGCCGGCCGGCTGCCGCTGAACGGAAGCCCGCAACAAAGGAAGCCACGTGTGCATAGCGGAAATACTCACCCAGTCGGCTGAGACGCTGCTCAGAAGGACATGGCACGTGCAATGTGGCTGAGCGGCGGCGGCGGCGGCCGCGGCTTCTGGCAGGGCGCAGCGGGCCGTGTCCTGCCGGCCCGCCGCTGCCCCGGCCACGGCGGTCCATCCTTACAGAGAGCGCAGAGGCCGCGCCGGCGGCAGCCCCGCCACTGCCGCCGCCAAAGCTGCTGACGGACAGCTCACAGCTGGACCTTGAGATCGCGCATCCTGGCTTTGATGCGCTCTCTCATCTCGGCGAACCTGTGGGCGCAGACACGGTCGCTGACATTGAGTAGAACGCGTCTGGCTAACAATGAGGGAGGCCGCGACCGCGGGACCATTCAGTGATGACACGGTCAATATCGCTCAGCGATCACACGGCCCAGTCGCTCGGTGATCACACGGCCAATAACGCTCAATGACCACACGACCAATATCGCTCAGTGATCACTCGGCCCAGTCGCTCAGTGATCACACGGCCCAGTCGCTCAGTGATCACACGACCAATATCGCTCAGTGATCACACGACCAATATCGCTCAGTGATCACACGACCAATATCGCTCAGTGATCACACGGCCCAGTCGCTCAGTGATCACACGACCAATATCGCTCAGTGATCACACGGTCAATATCGCTCAGTGATCACACGGCTCCTGTCGCTCAGTGATCACACGGTCAATATCGCTCAGTGATCACACGGCCAATATCGCTCAGTGATCACACGACCAATATCGCTCAGTGATCAAACGACCAATATCGCTCAGTGATCACACGGTCAATATCGCTCAGTGATCACACGGCCCAGTCGCTCAGTGATCACACGACCAATATCGCTCAGTGATCACACGGTCAATATCGCTCAGTAATCACACGGCTCCTGTCGCTCAGTGATCACACGGTCAATATCGCTCAGTGATCACACGGCCAATATCGCTCAGTGATCACACGACCAATATCGCTCAGTGATCACACGGTCAATATCGCTCAGTGATCACACGGTCAATATCGCTCAGTGATCACACGGCCAATATCGCTCAGTGATCACACGACCAATATCGCTCAGTGATCACACGACCAATATCGCTCAGTGATCACACGACCAATATCGCTCAGTGATCACACGGTCAATATCGCTCAGTGATCACCCGGTCAATATCGCTCAGTGATCACACGACCAATATCGCTCAGTGATCACACGGCTCCTGTCGCCACGCCAGTGACGACAATCACAGCTGATGGCAGGTGCTGTTCAGTTCATTTACCGTTATGGTTCATGTCCAGTGATATCAGAAAGGCAACAAACCAACCAATTACCAGCCTCTGGGCGCGAAAAACGAGCGAGCGCTGGAGTGAGCCCCTGCACGTGCACAAGTCGAGAGTGTCGGACGGACACTGTGTGGAACACCCTACTAACTGGTCTCTAACGGGGTATCAAGATTCAGGACGATCGGCCCAGCCGTTCTCGACAGCTGGAAGCGGCCGGTGCACGTGCGCACGCCAACCATTATGCATAACCATTGAAAGCAGCGCCTCAACCAGTATGCAATACGCATGAGAATGTACTGCCTGTCGACCGATATAATCCAAGATTCAGCACGATCGGCAAGTAATTGCCAAGTTATAAGGCATGTAGGTACCGTAAAGCTTACCCAAAGAATATTAAATGAAATTTAAAATTTTTATTCAACTCGTCTTAATTTTGTACGATGTCTCGAAGTGATCATCCATTATGGAAGAGGCTAAATAGTGGTGGCACGGAAGCTTATTACGCGTTGACCAATCACATTGCGACGTTCAAAAGCAGCTGCACGCTGATTGGCTGAGCTTAGCCTCTGCGACAGGTGGCTGTGTTCTTGGTATTCTTCTACAAGGCACCACATTCCTCTACGAGGCACTCTTTTCAGAACGAGAAATGAAATATCTTTGCCTAAGGTGATCGTTGGGGCGTAAAAGCTCCTGATTCGTGCTAATTAGTCTCAGCTCAAGCTACAAAACTGCCATTCCAGTTCAAAACTCCATGTTGTAAGTGAGATATTTCCTTTCACAATGCAATGAGAAGTGAGTGGACAACGTTCCAGGTGAATCCGTTGTGTTAGCAGCAATGGTGGCACGTCAAAAAGAGCGTACGATTTCAACGCCGAATCAAGACATTTTCCACACCACGGGGGTAAGCGCCTATATTTGACCCGAACGATAAATTGCGATACGCATAAAAAGCATATGGAAGCAAAATACGTATCCACAAATACCGTAATGCTCAACGGTGATCGAATTCTCAGTCAAGCTTGTCTATAGCAAGGCCGGGTACGAATCATGGAAAATCTGTATGGAAACATATGGCCAAAACGCAGCAATAATGCATTCACTACTGCCTGAACAGATGTGGACAGCATTTCAAGCACGTCCTCAGGCCTTGAAGAACAGTGGCGCACTGCTACAAAGCTTAATTCTCCTGAATTCTTCGCTGATTTCTTGCTGCATGCGCACAATCAAAGTTTTAGAGCTTTTTGGTCATTTCTTTGACGTGCACCTGTGACGTGTAACGACAAAAAATGATCCAATTTCGCTCCAAATTCAGCTATTTACTTATCAGTGTGTTGGGATAATACTGTGTGAAAATGAAGTGTAATGATTCTAAAGTAAGGGTTTTGGATGTGCCGCTCCCTCCCCGCCCGGTGACTCACTTGTCCTTGATGTGCTGGATGTGCCGCTCCTCCTCCTCGCGGTACTTCTGTAGAATGGCCGTACACTCGACGTCCGTCAGGTTTATATACTGGGCCACGTCGCTCCCTGGCGGTCAGATACACAGTCAGATACACAGTCAGACGGTCAGATACACAGTCAGATACACAGTCAGATATGAGATATACAGTCAGACGGCCAGATACACAGTCAGATACAGTCAGACAGGTAGATACACAGTCAGATATACAGTCAGACAGGTAGATACACAGTCAGATATACAGTCAGACAGGCAGATACACAGTCAGATATACAGTCAGACAGGTAGATACACAGTCAGATATACATTACACAGTCAGATATACAGTCAGACAGGCAGATACACAGTCAGCTATACAGTCAGACAGATACAGTAAGACAGATACACATTTAGACAGATATACAGTTAGGCAGCCAGATGTACAGTTAAAGTTTTTTTTTTCTACAGGTGGTGGTGGTTGTGGTTGTGGTGGTGGTGGTGGTGGGGGGGGGGGGGTCCCGGGGTCCACTCACTGATTTCGGCCGTGGTCTCGCGGTCCATGACGAAGAGCCGGGCGGCCGCCTCGGACGGTCCGCTGGCTATCCGCGTCAGCAGCGGGTACTCGTCGCTGCGCAGTCGGCGCCGCTCTGGCCGCACACGGCGCACAAGGTCAGCGCGCAGGTCAGCGCAGGTCAGCGCGCCGGTCAGCGCGCACGTCACAGCACTACAGGGTGTCCGGAAATTATTTGTCCCTTGTTCATCCAGCTATAATATCACCGTGCGCTGTAATAACTGTTGGAAATTTGCTAAGACCGTGCCTCAGGCTATCCACAGCTGTCCGTTAGTCACATGACCTAACCCGGTCACCTAACCCGGTCACTTGACCTTGACACTTGCGAGGCGCCAGGGGCCAGTGTTTGGCAGAAGTAAAGGCTGAAACAGACTCTTTCCGCGTTCAGGAAATCGCATGCGAGAGCCTATTCAAATACATTATAATTCTTCTCGCATCAATCGCTTGCGGGAGGTGCATGCGATTGATGCGAGCGTGCTTCCATGTATTTGAAAAGGATCTCGCATGCGATTTCCTGACTGCGGAAAGAGTCTGTTTCAGACGTAACTCGCACCTGAACGTGGTGTCTACTATGACGAAAGAAACTATTTGACAAAGCATCATCGCGCTGAACTTATGGTAAAGACTGAAATGAAGTAGAAAGTCAAAATCCTCTGTCCTCAGTCGAATCCTCTGTCCTAATCCCGATCGAAAACCAATGGGAAATCATGAAGGAGGAGCTCAGCAAGATTGTACCAGCAGTCCCAGAGGAAACGGACTTTAGAGGAACCTGTGAAGGGTGTGGCTCAGCATCAGCGCGGATACTCTGGACATCTTGGTCTATGGAATACCAAAGCGGATGAGGGAATGGGTAGGACAGGGCAGGAGATAAATCGGTAAATAAACCATGACCCGGGGGCTCTTTGTTTATTTATTATGGCGGCGAACTGATGGAGGGGCCAATAATTTCCGGACACCCTGTATAAGTTGGGTCGCACCCACGAGCCACGACCGCAGCCCGGGCGGCGGATGTCGGCCGCCGACAGCCGACACCAGCCGACATCAGGGCGATCCCCCGCCTCCCGACCCGGCCCCCTTCCCCCCGGCCCGTGCCCTGCCCTGGCGGCGCACCTCCCGAGTCCCAGACGATGTAGAGGGCGAAGTTGTCGGCGCGGTCCTCGACGCGGTACTTGTCGAGCACCATGTCGATCATCTCCCGGCAGGTGACCAGCGAGGTGACCCAGACCGAGAGGGCCGAGCCGTGCGGCGGCGTGAACACAGACGTCTCCCGGTTGTAGTAGTGTCCGTTGATGGAGCAGCGCCGCTGCGGCACAGGCGGCGATCAGCACACGGCGGACAGCGGCCACCACAGGGCGACACACGCGGGGGGTAGGGTAGGGAGGCGCCGTCCGGTCGCAGTCAGTGTCCCACCACTCTGCCCGTGTCCCCGCCGCCCCGACTGGAGCGGCGCCCACACTGAGCTCCGGCCGCCTCCCGCCCCAAACAGGCAGCCGACAGACCGGCCGAGCCGGGCACTAATCTGACACCCATACACCACCCACCGACCCTGGCACAGTGCGGGACGGCTCACAGCTCCCGAGCGCCGGCCACCAGCCGCCTTCACCCCGGCCGGCTGGTTCCCAGAGTGACCCCGACACGACCTCACCTTGACCTTGGCCTTGTTCATGCGCCGTCCGGGCCGGCGGCGGATGACGCGCGATTTGGCCGGAGCGCGGAGCGGCGGCTCCGTGGTCGACTCGTCGGTGGGCGAGGAGTCGACCCGCGGCGGCGGGCCGGGCGGCGGCGGCGGCGGCTCCTTGTCCGAGTTCTCCACCTCTGCCGACTCGAGCTGACCCTTCTCGACGCCCTCCTCGGCGGCGCGGTGGCCGTTCACCTCCACCTGACAGCGGTCAGAGGGGGGTCACAGGTCACACAGAGGTCAGAGGGGGGTCATACAGAGGTCACACAGAGGTCACGGTCAGATTGAGCTCACACAGAGGTCACAGGGAGGTCACACAGAGGTCAGATAGAGGTCACACAGAGGTCAGAGAGAGGTCACACAGAGGTCAGAGAGAGGTCACACAGAGGTCAGAGAGAGGTCACACAGAGGTCACACAGGGTCCATACAGGTCATGCGAGGGTCTGTAGGGGTTTGGTGTGGGTCTGTACTCTATGTCGGGGTCTGTGTGGGTCTGTGAGGGTCTGTGTGGGTCTGTGTGGGTCTGTGAGGGTCTGTGTGGGTCTGTGAGGGTCTGTGTGGGTCTGTGAGGGTCTGTGCCGGTTTGTGTGGGTCTGTGTGGGTCTGTACTCTGTGTCTGGGTTTGTGCCAGTCTGTGTGGGTCTGTGAGGGTCTGTGCCGATCTATGTGGGTCTGTACTCTGTGTCTGGGTCTGTGTGGGTCTGTGTGGATCTCTGTGTGGCTCTGTGCGGGTCTGTGCCGGTCTGTGTGGGTCTGTGTGGGTCTGTACTCTGTGTGTGGCTCTGTGCGGGTCTGTGCCGGTCTGTGAGGGTCTGTGCCGGTCTATGTGGGTCTGTACTCTGTGTCTGGGTCTGTGTGGGTCTGTGTGGATCTCTGTGTGGCTCTGTGCGGGTCTGTGCCGCCGCGCGGTCGGCCCGTACCTCGGCGCCCGTCTCGGCGTCCGTCTCCGTCTGCGTCTGCGTGCCGTGTCCCGAGTCGGTGTCCACTCGCGGATACGTCAGCTGACTGAGCGCGTGCGGCGTGACGCTCTGGCTGCGCGGCGGGCCGCGCGCCGGCGACGGCGCTGGCGTGGCCGGCCGGGAGCCCGACTCCGAGTCCGAGCCCGAGTCCACCGCCTCACTGCGCGTCGGCTGAGACAGGGTGACGGGGGGGGGGGGCGGGTCAGACCCAGCGGGGAGCATTCATCCTGGCCAGGATTCATAATGTCCAGGGTACGATATGCCCAGTGTCGAAATTGCCAGTGCCTTGAATGGGCCAGAGTTAATCATGTCCAGGGATTGCACGGTCCAAATGCGGCCAACTGGCTGCAAATAGGGTATATTCAAAGAGGCCAGGGTTCATAATGTCAAGGGCACGATGTGTCCAGTGTTGGAAATGGCCAGGGTTCATAATGTCCAGGGCACGATGTGTCCAGTGTTAGAAATGGCCAGGGTTCATAATGTCCAGGGCACGATGTGTCCAGTGCTCAAAATGGCCAGTGCCTTGAATGGGCCAGAGTTCATAATGTCCAGGGATTACCTACATAGCCACTGAAAGTGACGTCATTATGTAAAAAAAAAAACACGGAACCAGCTCAATGCGAAGCAGTGCAGTGCCAAAGGCAATGCCTTAGGAGTTAGGAGAGATTACAGGCAATAGTAAATCAAATATTTTTAGGTTAAGTGGTTATGTATCTGGCTTCAGGCTTCGGCCTGAAGCCAGATACATAACCGCTTAACCTAAAAATATTTGATTTACTATTGCTTGCAATCTATTCATGCGAGAAACTATTTCCTTATCCCCGGTAGGCAAACAGCATTACCTTAGGTTAGGTTAGGTTAGGTTTGGTTGGGTTGACTATGTAATCCCTGGACACCATGAACTCTGGCCCATTCAACGCACTGGCCATTTTGAGCACTGGACACATCGTGCCCTGGACATTATGAACCCTGGCCATTTCTAACACTGGACACATCGTGCTCTGGACATTATGAGCCCTGGCCATTTCGAACACTGGACACATCGTGCCCTGGACATTATGAACCCTGGCCTCTTTGAATTTACCCCATCTGCAGCCAGTTGGCCATATTTGGACTATGTAATCCTGGACAATATGAGCACTGGCCAATTCAAGGCACTGGCCATTTTGAGCACTGGACACATCGTGCCCTGGACATTATGAACCCTGGCCTAAATAATACGCACCCGACCCAGCACCCGCCCACTGAGCATTGGGCCATTGGCCCACCAGTATCCACTCACAGAGTCCCACATTATCCAATGTCGGAGTCCCACAGTATCACAGAGTCCCACAGTATCCAGTGTTAGAGTCCCACAGTATCACAGAGTCCCACCGGTATTCAGTGTTAGAATCCCACATTATCCAGTGTCGGAGTCCCGCAGTATCACCGAGTCCCACCTGTATCCACTGGGAATGGCGTTTTCGGACGATGGGTCGTTGGTCGTCGTCCTCTTTGAACTGGAGTAGTTTGTTGACCCCCCAGTACAGTTTGAGCACGCCGTCCAGTATGAGACGCCCGTTACGCTGCAGAGGGGGCGGGGGGGGGGGAGGGAGTCAATGACAACGACACCGCAGGGATGATACCGGACCGGCCGGCCGGCTGTACAGTGTATACCGGCCGGCTGTACAGTGCATACCGGCCGGCTGTACAGTGTATACCGGCCGGCGGGCTGTGCAGTGTATACCGGCCGGCTGTACAGGGTATACCGGCCGGCCGGCTGTACAGTGCATACCGGCCGGCTGTACAGGGTATACCGGCCGGACGGCTGTACAGTGTATACCGGCCGGCCGGCTGTACAGTGTATACCGGCCGGCCGGCTGTACACTGTGTGGATCTGGGTCCCGGGTCTCACCTCCCGGCTGTGGATCTGGGTCCGGTCTCACCTGCCGGCTGTGGATCTGGGTCCGGTCTCACCTGCCGGTTGTGTATCTGGGTCCGGTCTCACCTCCCGGCTGTGGATCTGGGTCCGGCTGTGGATCTGGCCCGCGGTCTCACCTCCCGGCTGTGGATCTGGGTCCGGCTGTGGATCTGGCCCGCGGTCTCACCTCCCGGCTGTGTATCTGGGTCCGGTCTCACCTACCGGCTGTGGATCTGGGTCCGGCTGTGGATCTGGCCCGCGGTCTCACCTCCCGGCTGTGGATCTGGGTCCGGTCTCACCTCCCGGCTGTGTATCTGGGTGCGGCTGCTCTCGTGGTACTGGTTGTAGGCCCTCAGCTGGCGCGCCAGCAGCTCCTGGTCCGGCTGCCGCGGACTCTCCGGCGCAGAGTCGCGCCGCCCGAAGCTGACGTGCGCCTCCACGTGCGTGCCGTGGCCGAACAGGTGCGGCCCGAACAGCGCGCCGTAACAGGGCACGTGGCAGTACGGGCTGCCCTTGTGCTGCCGGAGGCGCGGCCACCGTCAGCGCCCAGCGGCGGCGCCGCACGTGACAGCACGCCACACTCCACAGCCCAGCCGGGACAAACAACACCCAACACCTAACGCTGCTCAGACAGTCAATGTTCCTTTGCATGAAGCTTTAATAGGAGCTAATGAAAAGAGAAGGGTACACCACATGAGCCGCTGTGAGTCTGAATATGTTGGCGTCGAAGCCGATTCGGCAGTGTTGGGACCAGCTGGTGAGACGGTGCCGCCCCAGCCCGGGTGGGAGGAGCCGATACGGCCAGCAGGGTGGGACGGCGGGCACCCCCCCGGTTACCGAGTCGTCAGTCGTACCTCTGGGACGGCGGGCACCCCCCCGGTTACCGAGTCGTCAGTCGTACCTCTGGGACGGCGGGCACCCCCCCCCCCCCGGTTACCGAGTCGTCAGTCGTACCTCTGGGACGGCGGCCACCCCCCGGTTACCGAGTCGTCAGTCGTACCTCTGGGACGGCGGCCACCCCCCGGTTACCGAGTCGTCAGTCGTACCTCTGCGTGCTGGCCCGGCGGGCACCCCCCAGTTACCGAGTCGGCCGTCAGTCGTACCTCGGCGTGCTGGCCCGGGTTGAGCCGCTTGCCGCACTCGTCGCAGCGCAGACACTCGGGGTGCCAGTCGTAGCCCATGCTCTGCTTCCGTTCGGCTGCAGCGCACAACACACCAGGTCAGCCGGCGTGTACCGGTGGCAGTGGGTAGGTACCGGTGGCAGTGGGTAGGTACCGGCGGCAGTGGGTAGGTACCGGTGGCAGTGGGTAGGTACCGGTGGCAGTGGGTAGGGACCGGTGGCAGTGGGTAGGTACCGGCGGCAGTGGGTAGGTACCGGCGGAACATCAGCCCCAGCCGCGTCACCCTTCAGCCGGCGTGCCACAGACAAACAGCGGCAACGTCAGAGGCACTCTGAGCGAAACACCTTCAACAGAGTTCAAAACAGCCGAGCTGAAGGAACAGCGCATTCAATTTAATCGTAATTCCAGTACGAAGCGTCACTTACCGAAGAACACCGGTTTCTCGCACCTTCTGCACTTCCACATCTTGAAATGTGTGTAGCATTAATGCAGGCGCCACCGTCCGACCCCTGCAATGACCAGAGTACAATGTAGATGCCCGGCAAAACGCCGCTGCTATATTCGACAGTCTTATAGTGTTCGTGAGGCGGAAGACAAACAATTTCAACATAGGTTTACATGTTGTCATAGGTACAGCCCTCTGCACACTGCGTGGTAGGTATTCTTTTTTCGACAAAACCGAGAATAACTCGAATACTATGTTATCTGTCACTCAGAAATCGTAACAGCAAGACGCGCGAGACTCCGCACCTTAGATTGGGCTTATCATGGTATACATTTTCCATCCAGTTTGGCAACGAAACACGAAAGTTTATATTTGCCCCCAAAACAAACTTTTGCATTTTGCTGCAACACTAGGCGTATACTTTGTCAGTGATACACCCAATCGAAGGAGTGGAGCATGGCGAATCTATGTGCAATGAGTTCCGACCGACTGATAACATAGTCTTTGAGCTATTATAGGTTTTGTCGAAAAAAGAATACCTACCGCGCAGTGTGCAGAGGACTGTACATGTTACAGGCAATGTGTGGAATCGCGTATTCTTAGAATGACTGAGCATTCTGTAGAGTGCTTGATCATCCATTCCAGACTTTCTAAGGAATGCCTAAGGAACCGTTTATACGCATCTTTCCAGCATATAATTGTAAAGTCTTTCTTAAAAGCATTGCTAGGTACTCGAAAGCATGGCTATCACTCCCTAGTTTGAGGGCCCCTCGCTTTTGAGGGTTGGCCGCCTGGCCGGCCCTTACCGTTGTCACGGTTTCACGACCCCGGCCGCGTATTCGCCAATAGTATTACACGAATCGGCCCGACCAATAGCGTGCCTCTTGAGTGACGTCAGCGTGGCGTCATACGTTCGGTCCTCGCCCTTGGTGGAGTCTATTGAAGCTAAGTTTTAACTTAACGACATTTAAACTCCGTCGTACGTGTTGCCGCCGTGGCGCAGTGGTTGGAGTATCGGAATGGTGATATGGATGCAGGTGGTTCGAATCCACTCGGCGACATCAATTTTCGTGTTATCTGTCATTGTGCGTTTTTTTTGATACATTTGCAACGGCGTGCACCTAAGAAATCAGAGGTAAGCATTCTTCAAATGAATATGTTGCATACCTAAGAAGAGAAATATTTGCAGTCCAACCGATTGGTTCGGTTTCGGTATTTTCCAATGGTTTTTGTTTGAATTTGGTTTGGTATCGGTGTTCTGATTTTCTGTGATTGACAATTGACATCACTAATGCATAGTGCATACTATGCGAATGTAGCCAATGGAAAGACAAATGGTGCTGCTGGGCGATGACCATTGATCAATATTTCTCACTGCCAATGGGTGATAGCACCGAGCACGCAGCTCCTGCTGGATATGACAGGAGTGGCGCTGACCTTTTGAAAGTAGGTGGCACTCATGGCAAGGTAAAGTACCTAAAAGTAGCGAAAACTAAGCTAAAAATCGCACGCTGGTTAGCATGCAATTAGATAATTTTCATGTAAGAATCACCATGCACAAAAAAGTTGGGCATAGCTGTTAGCGTAATCAGGGGACGAGATTATCAGTTTCCAGCCGTCATAGGCGTCATCTATAGGAGCTATGCCTTAACCCGCGCGGGGCTGGGGGGGGGGGTAAATTTTACCCTCCTCGCGAATTTTTGCGATATCTCAAAAACGGCGGCGCGCAGCGCCGCCAAACTTTCAGTACCTTTTCTTACATCAATTTGACACGTTCCCTGAAAATTTGAGCGAAATCCGTCGGAAAATTTTTGAGAAATTGACGTTTTAGTGACGTCATGTTCGCCATTTTCGCCTCAAAAACGGCAAAAGTTCAAACGCCGCTAACATCTTCATTTTTAAAGGAATCAAGACGTAACAAAAAAAAGGTTATACGTAATTTTACTTTGTCTATCAAATGGCTATCTCGGTTTTTTGAAAATTTTGGATTTTGTCCTAAATTTTTTCAAAAAACTGACTTTTTTGGGAAAATCATTATAAAATCCAAAATTTTGAGTCTATCGAAAAAACCGGAATATATGTCAGAGAAGTGGTCTATGTGCACCTACATACCAAAATTTAGAAGAATCGGTTCAAAAATGTGGGAGTTATTCAAAATTTTATGACGTCACGACACACAAATTTTTTGAAAAATGACTTCTTTGGAAGTTCTAGCCCTCGTACGGAAACAAAAATAGCACCATTCGATTCGCCGTGAAAAACTGCATCAGATAGACACCTTTTTAGGCCTTAACAACCAACTTCAAAATTTGACCTCACTTGACCTGACCTTGACCTGACCTCGACCTGAAATTCATCCAGAGGTGGTCCATATCACTTATTGAGTGTGCCTATTGAATTCTATGAGTAAAATGACCCATAAAACATGTGTCGCACATGCCCTTTTCTATATTTTGTTTTTTGGTGACCTGACCTGACCTGACCTGACCTGACCTTGACCTTGACCTCTGAATGATATTGTATGCAACGAATATTGTCTTGGTAGCCTAAGAACACGTTTTGGGCGATCAGTCTCAGTCCATGACTCCATTCTTCGGCAACTACGGTGCAAGGCCGATACCTACTGTAGAAACTTGCAATTTGTACCCTTGACCTGACCTTGACCTTGACCTCAAACTTTAAATTAAGTACATGTTTTTAGTAATTCGTGATGAGAGCTTTCGATTGGCGTTTGAATTTTCCAAATCGGACCATTAGTTCGGGAGATAACAGGGGGGGGGGGGGTAAAATTTACCCCCCCCCAGCCCCGCGCGTTCGGCTGGAGACCCCAGCCCCGCGCGGGTTAACTATAACTTAAACATTTCTGCCACCAGGGGATCGACAGTATCGACAGTACCGTAACACAATTGGTATTTCAGGTACAGACTGCAACTGCAGTTCTTTTGCAACTTATTCCTTAATCAGATGAATACTTGTCATAGATTTATTGGGCGTACGATATTGGCGTGCGAACTTAGGGCCTAGGGGCCAAAAATGCGTGTCTAAAACCGACTTCTTAGAAAAGAACCGCTAAAGCAGGAATCGATCCATCGACCTTTTGCCTATCACACCGAGACTCTAACCACTTGGCTATGACGACATACTGTCAGTTGAATTGCCATATACAATTAAAAAAAGTCTCAACTCAAATCTGGCCTCAATGCATGATTGTCACGTCGGCTGGCTATGACGTCGCACTAGAGATGTCGCTAGTTGGTGGGCCGATTCGTGTAATACTATTGGCGAATACGCACCCCGGCCAGGCGGCTAACCCTCAAAAGCCAGGGGCTCTCATACCAGGGAGCGATAGCGATACTTCGAGTAGCGATAGTTTCAATAGAGAATGTACCTACCTATGGTATATAAGATTAACCCACGCCCCGCTGGGGTTCTTGGATTTCCACATCCTGCTGAGGGGTCGAACACCCAACTCTAACTCAGGCTCCTGGGCCACGTAGCGATACGTGGGGTAAGCGACGTTCGAAAGAGCGTAAAAAACGAAATTACTTCAGTCATGTTTTTTGGTCAGGTCAAAGGTCAGGTGACCAGAGGCCATCAAAGTTCAAATTTCGTCTATTTCGGAAGCTTTCAACAAAGCGGTGCATAGCTCAGGAACGGATAGAGCTAAAGTACCGCGGAACGTACATTCGATAGCTTTTAATGATCTTTCTGTAACTATCCTCATATTTCGAGCTAAGGTCAACAGTTTAGCATACATTTTGCACAAACTGCCAAAACAGGTAGGTAGGTACACGTTTTGCGAAAATGTTTTTTTTTCTGCAATAACTTTTGGCACAAGACTTGCACAAGCTTACTTTAACCAGCATCGTGTCTCTCTCATCGAGACGTGTCAAATCAACGATCATTTGCTCTTGAAAGGTCAACTTGAACAGTTCACCTAGGGTCAAGGTCAGGAACTGACCGGGGAAGGGCATCTTGCACATACGCTGACCCATATCGTTGTTTTTTACCCTTATCGTCAAGCTGAATACCTTTGCTGGAGGCTACTGGAGGTTTCTGGAGCTTTGGGGAGAGCTTTCTGGAGCTTTCTGGAGGTGCTGGAACAATCTCTGGATAATTCTAGGGCTTTCTGGAGGTTTCTGGTCTCTGGAGGCGCTGGAACAGGCCCAAGGTGAACAAAAAAATGTTGGTGCTCAGAGCTACCATTTTTTTTTTAGACATTCACAAAAAATGGAGGGCCGGGTGTCCAAGCACCCCCCTCGGCCCCCCTCCACACACATGCACACACACACACACACACATAGGTACACACTAAGCAGGGTGTGGGACCCTTCCACCTTAAAAGATCAAATTGTTAAAAAGTTAAAACTAAATCAAAGTAAACCGTCCAATGGAGCCAAAATTTCTTTGTCCACCTTGACCTGAGCACTTAAATACTGTCGTACCTACATAAATAACCCGAACGCTGCATATAAATTTTGATGGAATTCAACCACTATGCCTGACATGAAGACTGATACATTGATTTTTCCAGTCTGGATTTGTGACAATATGGAGTGTTTATATTCAATTTAGAGTCTAGAGTGAAAAAGGGCAAATTCGCCAATAAATTGACAAAAATATTCCTCATCCCTCATCCGGAAAAAAACATCCACCCCAATCCCCAAATTTACCATTGCGATAGTCTTACCAATTGCAGCAGGTCTCTCGAGAAATTGAAATACGGGGATGGAAAATAATTACCAATCTTAAAGCCCTAGTTCAGCTAGGCTTCATGGCCCTGTTTCACCGGTGATAGCAGCAAGCTGCTATCACGTTTCGCGAGCTGACGTCATGTCCGGCCCTGTTTCACCGGTGATAGCAGCAAGCTGCTATCACGTTTCGCGAGCTGACGTCATGTCGTGACGCCATACTGTTGTCGTAATGGGTAGTTCCGGCGCACGATTGCCGCGACCTTGGCGGCGGCATTAAGTGACGTATGAGCCTAAAAGTAAGAGTTTACGCAGTCATGATAGTAAATATATTTTTGATATATATTTTTTCAATATGATGTATTTAAAAGAAGTTGGGTTTAGGAAAAATTTTGACATTAACTTCGAACATTTAGCTGATGACGTAAAACAATATTGCGGCAATCGTGCGCCAGAATTGTCCCTTACGTCAGCAGTATGACGTCATCACATTACGTCAGCTCGCGCAATTTGATAGTAGCTTGCTGCTATCACCGGTGAAACAGGGCCCTGGTATATAGGGCCTTGGTCATGTCGTGACGCCATACTGTTGTCGTAATGGGTAGTTCCGGCGCACGATTGCCGCGACCTTGGCGGCGGCATTAAGTGACGTATGAGCCTTAAAGTAAGAGTTTACGCAGTCATGATAGTATATATATTTTTGATATATATTTTTTCAATATGATGTATTTAAAAGAAGTTGGGTTTAGGAAAAATTTTGACATTAACTTCGAACATTTAGCTGATGACGTAAAACAATATTGCGGCAATCGTGCGCCAGAATTGCCCCTTACGTCAGCAGTATGACGTCATCACATTACGTCAGCTCGCGCAATTTGATAGTAACGTGCTGCTATCACCGGTGAAACAGGGCCCATATAAAAGAGCTTCATATCAGTGATGCCATCCACATTTTTGCTCCATCCCAAGATCTCGACCAGAATTTCCCAAGATTCTCGTCTCGAATCACAAGACTACTCATCCATCGCATATCCTTAGGAGTACCCCAAGTAAATCCATAGCTTATTTTGGACATATTAGTGTGTTTAGTATTCAACTTTCTCTTCTTCGGGTCCACCCTTGTCCTTATTGGTGTATTTACAGCAGCTAATGTACGGCTCTAGCGAGATTAAGCGGTAGGTTTTGCACTTTTACATTTCCGGTTATATCTCAGAAACTAATCGATCTACGATGAAGCCATTTTACACGATCATGGCCGGTTTGTTACCCAACAAATCGATAGCATCTTCAACACTTAAAAGCTTCAGACAACGAAGATATAGCCTGAAGTACACTCATTTTTCTAGGTGCAAAACCTACCGCTAAAACCCGCGAGACCTGTACCGGGGAGGGACCGGGGGAGGGGAGGGGGAGGGGGGCGATCGGACTCCTACAGCTGATCGGTTCCTGACCGAGTATAAGAGATTCACGAAAAATGAAGATGCTGGCCTAGACAACATGAAGCCGGTGGTATCTGATATTATGGTCAGGTCATTCGTCGACCGTCAATGGTGGGTCAAGGACCCAAAACACAAAGTCCGAATCTGTTAGAACTTCTTGGAAACGAAGTCTGTGGCATTTTGGATTTATTTCGAAATTTTTCTCGTGACACATTTGGAGAAGCTAGGGTTAGGTGAGGTCAGGCTGATTTTAAGTGTTTTCCACCACTGAGTTTTGAAATATGGGCTCCAAAACAAGCTCTTAACCCTCGCCCGCACATGCCATTTTCCCATCCTAGAACGCACATGGGGGGGGGGGTTGCCCCCCCGGGCCATTTCGTTCCTGTTGGAGATAGAGCTTAGCGGTAAAGACCAAAAAGATTCTTTGCTAAGAGACGAATCCAACGATACCCAGTTTTACCTTCTCAGGTCAGTCATTGACCTTCCAGGTCAGGTCAAACTAAAAAATGTTGCTGTTTTGGGTCACCGTTGGATATCAAGTGCGCTGCTTATCATATACCGATGACGATGCCGTTTTCTGGTGCCAGGCCAGCTAGAACCTCTTTGTCACACTACCCGACCAGATTTTTGCTGCTGAGGTCATTTCAGGTCAAGCTAGGTCAAGGTCAATTATATGTGTTTGTATGTCTGTGTGTGTCTGTGTGTATACTGATGTGTGCACCGATTGTTTATGTGTCCACGGTCCATATTACATGAAATCATGATCTGAGAAGCTTTTACCAAAAATGCAGTCAAAAAAATTCACAAAAAGTAAATTCAGCTTGCCTAAAACGCAATTATCTTAGATGACCTAGGTTGACCTTGACCCTGACCTTGACACCTGTACATCGTCGAACAACATGTTCCATGATAGGTGGGAGGTAAGACTGGCAAAAAAGGCCAAAATCAAGGTGTCAAAAGCTCACAAGGCCCATAGCAAACGCAAGATGTTGAGAATTGGCCATTTGGGTCATGACATGACCTGACAAACAAGGTCATATCTCCGAAACCAAAAATCACAGAAACTTGAAATTTTCAGTGGACATCAAGAAAGGATAGAGGAGCAGCTATACGAAAAATCAGCCTTCTAGCTCTAAAATGTCGAGTGCAGAGCAGAAACACTACCTGGGGGGGGGGGGGGGGTGGCAACCACCCCCCCCCCATGTGCGGGCGAGGGTTAAAAGCTTATGTGAATCCCGAAATCGAAAAGCCTATGCTGTGAATCTGCGCATAAGCCAGTGCCCGCTGGGGCCCATGCATTTTCAAGCCGACGATGGCGAGGGGGTCTAAACGAGGACCTAACTCGTCCCCTGGACTATATAGTTACAAGCCGTCAGCAATGTTGTGAAGGTCGCAAGGTTACGCTAGTTTGATTATTTTTGGTCCAGCAGAGCCCAGAGGTCAGGTGACCAGACACTTTTCCGAGGTCAAAGACAAATTGCCCTTATTTTGGTTCGCGGTCAACGGATAAGCCTCCATAGAGCAAAACCGTAAAATGAAACGCTTTGTGCGGGAGCCGCTTTCTGAAATATTTTTCAGGCATAATATTTGTAAAAGCTTTTCATAGCCACCCAACATCATGCCGCTAAACCACCCATCCCCGTTGATCGGTAGTTGGAAATTAAACAAATGAGCGCCAGTTGCGAAAAGCGACTGAAAGCTGCTACTATACCTATAACAGTAATGGTACAAAAATAATCCTGCGATCTCGGTAAGATAATGCCTGCTAGAAACATCGCAAGCTTCGTCCGTTACTTCAATGTTTGATTAACCGTCCGTGAGGCAAATCCATCCTAAATCTATTATCGACCAAGGAAAAGCATTCGACAGCATGAGAAGACAAAGTGAAATCAGCTTCTGCCAGATCCCAAGATATGCAGTGCAAATCACAAGATCCCAATGTTAATGTTCAAATCCCAAGATCTTGGGACAAATCCCAAGGAATGGCATCGCTGCTTCATATAAAAGAGGCATAAGGAATTGTTCGTGATTTGTGTTCAAACAGCCAAAAACGCTGCTGACGGTGGAACAAAAAAGCAGGCGTAAGCAAATGGATTTGGAGATTTGACAAATACGTCATATTTTGTGCAGCACCTTTGCAGAGTGGCATGTACAATTGAACATGAAGTATGACAAGGCTGCTGATTTTACTCTTTTTAGTTTCAGAATCAGCATCCTTTTTAGTGACGTCACATAATTGAAAAGGAGAACAACAACAATGTAATTTCAATATTTCGAATTATATTCAGGTTTGTGAATACATATTTTTGCATGATAAACAAATAAGGTTTGTATTGGCATCGTTTTTAACGTTTTCTACCTTAAATTGCCAAAACTTGGCCAAAACAAACTGATCGGAAAATAATTTATTTTTAATACATGGATGACGCACTTGTTACAATAAGCTTGGAATGCCACATGCAAACCAGGGCACTAAAGAGTCATGCAAACTGTTGGTCACATGTGGGCGCCGCGAGTGTCAGGCTTTGCTGTTGAGGGCCAGCTGAGCTATTTGTGAGCACAACCATGCGATTATCCAACCCTTAGTTTGAGAAGATTTTTTACCTTGTGCTTGAAGTGACAAAGCCATTATTATCAACAAATAAAGCTAGTTAACTTTCTTAGTTGTAGTGACAAGATAATCAAGTTAGGTACATACAGGTAAGCTCACAACCCTGTCCGAAATTTACCAGAATTAGCAAGTTAGTGCGAATATTAAAGCAATAACTTCAGGTTATTGTAAGAGAAGCTTACATAAAGGTTTGGTTGCAGGATTTGGGGGCGAGAGGACATGAGCCAGCGAATCAGACCGTGCTGGAAATGAGGCCGCTTTCTGATCCCCACAGTGTTTAAGGTATCTTGTCCCAAACCAGTATGATGTGGGTACTGAATAGACTGTGTCTAAACCTAACCCACTACATAAACCTAAACCTAAACCTAAACCTCTGGGCAGTGGGCGGGTTAATCCCGTCCAGCGTTTAGCTTTTCAGAACACACTCAGAGTCGCGGTTTTGCCATTTTCGCCTAAAAAAATGGCAAAATTTCAAACGTCTCTAACATCTTCATTTTTAAACGAATCAAGACAACAAAAAAGGTTATACGTGATTCTACGGTATCGGTAACCCTGGCGTCACCGGTAGCGTTTTCGTTCAAGGTTAAAGGAAATAGTTCACTTTCCTGAAATTAGTATTTTGCTATGGATTTATGTTTTTTTATGCTCAAAATGATCAGAAACTAAAACAAAACGTTTTTGTAAAAAGGATTCTTTTCTATATTTTAGTATAAGAAGAACTATATTCTATATAAAATAATGTTTGACGCGGAAGCTTATTACGCGTTGACCAATCATATTGCGTAGGACAAACCCATCGGCTGTAAGCAGCATTCTGATTGGCTGACGATGACGTGACTGCATTCCTCAGCAAGGCACGCATTCCTCTGCAAGGCACTCTTTTCGGAACGAAAAATGGAATATCTTCGTCTAGGGTGATCGTTGGGCCGTAAAAGCTTCTCATTTGTGCTAGTCTCAGCGCAAGCAACAAAACTGCTATTCCAGTTCCAAACCCCATGTTAAAAGTGAACTATTTCCTTTAAGGTTTCCTGCATTAGGCAGTATTGGGCCACCGTGCCAAGCCGTAGCATGCTGTGACGTCACTGGGTAAGAGAACGTACCACGCTATCAGTATCAACTGAGACTCAGATAGACTCAGAACGACTCAGGCAGACTCAAACTGACTTAGACCGACTCAACCGACTCAAATAGATTCTGATC